AAAAAAAAAATGTCATGCCATATTATAATGTGATTTACTGATCTTTGTCCTCATGCTCAATATGTTTTATTGTCAATGATCATCAGGTGATACAGTGTGTTCATACTGTCTAAAAACGTTTTGGAGACCAGTGCTCAAGTCAGTCAAATGTAAAAAATATGTGCAAGTTAAAACATTTTATAGTGAGGCATGTTCTTCTTCTTCTTGGTTTATTTATAATCGGAGAAAAAGTGGGCATTTTATGACATAAACTCAGTTCAGTGCCAGTTTGGCTGGCATGGGATTTTCTTATGTTATATTTTGCCATAAAAATGTCAATTTTATATATTTTACAAAGTAGTGAGAAGCGTTTTATCGAGTTGGTAGCATTCATGATGATATAAATGTCTACACTGGAAAAGACACCATTTATATACACACATATTCTCCTAACCTGTCGCCTTTGTGATGCCAGTCTTTGTGCGACGGCTGTGACCAGAGCGGCTCCTTTGCTGCTGCCGCCGTCTGAGAGCACAAACCTGACATGGCACTCAGGAATCAGCCGCTGCACCACTTTATGGAGACGATTAGCATACCTGAAAGTAAAGGAGTCTAATGTTTAAGATCTATGGATAATCTGTAGCAGCTGCAAGTAAAAACAATTCCAGGTTATGTTTCTCCAATGAACATATGATGAGGATTTTGGTGAATAAATCCAATAACACTTACCGTGGATGCGTCTTGTAGACAGTCCCATCCACGCCAACAGTGATTCTTAATGTCCTCAAATGCCGGTTTTGCCTAATTTGAGTCAGGATAGCTGCCAGTCCTGCAGCCACCAGGTTTGAGGACCTGAAGGACACTATGGTGCTGACACGTTGGACAGCAATGCAGTCGTCAGGTGTTGAACTCAAATCAAGATCCACAAGAATATTTCTGGTGTTCCTCAAACCGTGTTTGTATCTGAAATAGACAGAAATATGTGGCGTCAACTGCTTTTACACAGAGGGATTGTAAAACACACACAAATACAGATAACTTACTCCTCCATGGCTGCTACATGTGCAGTGGTTATCTTTCCTTTGGTCCTCAGAGCATCAGACACTTGTCCTTCAAACAGCAGTCCAAGTTTTGCCATCTTTAATACAACCAGCCTCACTAACTCCCCCAGATACATCCCACTGACCATCTTCTCCAGACTGCAGTTAGGAAAACAGGAACAGAATGATTATAAGGTTGATATTCTCCCATCACATTTCATATGATGAAAAACACAAAGTTAGCTTATGTCCTCACATTTGTTTCCCAGGGTTGTTGGAGGCTGCGTCCACTTCCCTGTCAAACTCTGTGATGTAATCATTCAGAGCGCCATCGTCTCCGAAGGCCCCCCACTCCGTGTTCACACACATCCTGCCCTCGTCCCCCTCCACCAGGTCAATGTGATGCAGTTCCTCCATATAGCATGCATTAGTGCCACTACCTATACACACAAGCACACAGGATACTCATATTCATTACTTTAACTAAACATGCAACTTTGTGGAGCAGTACTTGGAAATAGGAATACCTTTGCGCACGTCAAAACACAAATGAGCTCTGAAGCAGCACCCAAAGGAGTTGCAAGCCTCAATCTTTACTCTAAAAGTGAATCAACTCACCAACGATGAGTCCTACTTCACAGTAGCGGTCATCAAAGCCGCAGGTCATCATGGTCGCTACAGTGTCGTTAACCATGGCTAACACCTCTACATCCATACCCTGCAGAGGGAGTTTCAGAGTATAAAGTAACGTCTATCAGCTGCAGTATCTTGTATGCTGAAGGACGTGCAGTCAGCACTAAGCAGACATGTGACTCAATTCATTTGGTAAAAAGTTCAAACAGCCATCTTACCCCAGTCCTGTTTACAGCCCCTCTGAGGGCCTGGACCACATCTTTACCCTGAACACCTCGAGCCCGGAAGTTTTTACTCCAGTTCAACAATAATCCCTACAGAGAAGAAAAAAACATTATAAGAAAATAGTAATAAAGGAACAGGTACAGGTCATGAAAAACCGATGCAAGTACCTGATTTAAGGCGGATTGTTCACAGGGGAAAGAGAAGGTGAGGGCCAGAGGATGTTTCTTCTCCACACTGATCTTCTTCTCATGCAGGAAGTCCTTCAGAGACTCTGACACGTGGTCAAAAAGCTGCAGACAGAGTCAGACAGAAGAAGGTTTGCATGTGTAAAATGTTAGACGACCCCTCTGTTGTTTCCCCTTCTTAAACCCTTTTGTAATTCTGGTCCAACACTCCTCACATTCATGGAGCCCCTATTCAGCATGTTCTGTTCCCTCAATTTAAACCCCTTTTATTTCTCAACACTTCACCCTGCATGTTTCCTCTCCTCTGTACCTCTTTTCCACTCCCAGTGAGTAGCTCCTCAGGTATGGGGTAGGTCTTCTCCTCCATCTCCACTCCTCCTCTCCTGACCCCCGTGCCCTCTCTCACTTTAACTTGGAGCACCTTAAACTTGGAGCCTCCAAGATCCAACACCAGAAAATGTCCTTTCTCTGCAGGAGTGGAGAAGAGAGGCAAACATATATGATCAGCACTGTACTGTATGTGTGTTAATATGTTTCTTCACCACAAATTGACCTAAACAAGTGTGAAAACTCTTAATTCGAGCTACCTGATCCATCAGGAGTGGAGTGCACGTGTGTTGGCAGCATCTTCACCGCTGCTGCAGCGTTGCTTTCCGCTGAAAGGCCCTTCTTCATTTCAGCCTGGAAACGAGTGGAGATGTCACTTAGCTGGTCGTCATGGAGATGCATGGCGTACATAAACCTGTCCACCTAAAATACATGTAAGGACAGAAACAGAGTGGTTAGCAAACAAAAGCAAAAGGCAATGAGGCATACTAATGTATTCTTACTTTATTTTGTTGACAAGATAGAAAACAAACACTTTGGAGATTCACCAAAGATTAAGTTTCACAAAAACTTAAGGTTTATCTTCTTCATAATTGTGAGGATTTGGTCTGGATTGGAACAGTTATCCATCATCAGCAAATGGTATCTTTTATCTTGAAGGTTTGCATGTGGCAAATGTCACAAGGTCTGTTGCAGCATGTGCTAAACTCAGGTTTTATTCTTGTATCAAAAGCTCAAAGGTCATTTTGTTGTTTACAGTAACTTATCCCAGGACCTGCTGCTTGAAAGAACATGTTAAAGGAGAAGCAGGAGACTATTTACCACTAGAGACTAGGAAATAAAGGGTGTTCAAATTAAATTGCTCAAGAAATTACAAAAAAAGGGCATGAGTCAAGAAGTCCCACTCTGTATACTCATAGACATATTATGTGTACAGTCAGCCGCTAGACTCACTGTGGTGCCATGTTTAAAACACAAGGTTACTCTGGTAATCACAAGTGTGAATGTGTGCAGTGTTTTTTTCAACACTTTGTCCCTGAGAGAGTTTGTTTGTTCACATCTGCACAGGAGCAGTGACACCGCCCGCCAGGGAACAATGTTAATCATTGCTCAGGAGAGACACATGGTGACACAGTAACTAATAATGATTATGGAACCTTGATCATCTTTAACAACAGCTAGCGTCTTATCTTTTGGATTTGGAAAAGATAGTTGTAGGAACGTCTGCAAACACTCAATAGGTCAAGTATCTAATACAATATCAGGAGTAGTTGGATCCCTTTATAATAATTATACTGCCAGAAGGCCCCACTTTGAATAACGCAGCACACATTAGAGCCATACATGAGAAGTACATATTTAACATTTTAAAATAAATGTGTTTGTGGACTTGCTCCAAGTTGCACATGCATGTCAGATGTCAGATATAGCAATATAGATTTGGATATGAATTTAGAGAATTGTGTATATTATAAATTGAGGGATTATGTTTTTAAGAGAGGATTCTGTTTAAATACACATCAGCAATCTTTCTCAATTTCATACATTTTTCTTTGTAGGGGATTACATTTGGAAAGTAGTCTTTTTAGTGCTGCAACTAGAAAAAAAGTTTAGTTGTGAGCTAGCTCTTACCTTCTTGGTCGGGTCCTCCTGGAGTTTGGAGAAGAAGGACAAAACAAGGTGAACTGCAAACATCTTGACGTGCAACACACACCACTTGGTTTGTTAATGAGTCTGTGTTCCTCTGTCAGTGGGCAAAACAACTGCACACACTTCAATAAAAACAGTAAAACACAGTTCGGTTTGTGCACAAGTTGAACTACAGTCTGTTGTTTTTCTCTCCTGGCAGACTTGTTTTGATGTGACTGACTGAGTCCACTGAGCAGAGCCTCCACTCTAACTTAATCATTAACAGCAGGCCAAACCCCTTCATCTCATCATTTCCTTCAATCTCTCCGTCTGTCCGCCCAACCCTGTCTCCTTGTATCTTCAGTCCAACATTAGACCTCTACCCAAGTTCTAAGGAATCTTGCAACACCAGCAATGACTTAACTCAGCAAAGGTCATGAAAATGAGGAAGTGTAATTTAAGCTTGGACAGAACTTTGACATAAACAATTATAATAATGTGAAAAATAACTTAATACCTCTATCTTACACCAACAACAATAAAGTTTAGTTATATCAAGACTACATTTTGTGTAACTGTGTGAAAGGGTGCACAAGACATTGTTTAGACACTTGAACATAACTACAATAAACATTTAGAACAAGCTTTAAAAAGACCACTTCAATTGGTAAAGAAGGGTAAAGCAGTATCTAAAGGGATTTGTTGATGTTCTGTAGAGGAACATCCATGTTTTGTTATTCCAACTGATTTGGTAAAAGGACATTCAGATGGTCCCTATTGTTGATAAACTCATCTTTTGTCTTTTGCAAATTGGTACATTTGATTGAATCTCTTTAGAGCCCTTATTTCCTCATCATGACCTTTTGAAAATTCTCTTGTGAAAGTCTTGATTGAATTATGCCAATTGCTTTTCTTTCATCATGCGTTAGCATTATTTACTCAAGGTTTGAGCTGCTCAATAAAACATACACATGAAATCAAGACCGTTAAAACATAGTACATTTTTAATTGACTTGTGTTTTCATCTTAAATATACAAACAAGAAAAAATATGGCATTTTATCTGTATATGGACACTTACAGGGCTGTAATCAATATACATTTATTTCAGATTAGTTTCACCGCTCAATTAGGTTGCATACATATTCACGCCGTTCCGAGGGTTCACATTTGAGTTTACAAATCAAAAGTAACGTTTTGCAGACCTGCATAACACACACACTCACAGTGCATGTTAAAATGTTTCTTGGTCACAATGCTTCTCAAAGAGCATTACGGCACCAAGTGACTCTCCATTAAAACATCGTGGTAAACAATGTTGTCAGCTTCTAGTTGTGGGCCGATAGCTCAGGCAGGACATCACATCTCCCACATTAATGCGTGACAACAGATACGTTTCTTCGGCGCTAAATCCAAATATTGAAATGTAAAATGTGGTCAGTAAAGTTTGTTGTTGGGTAATTAGACAGTTTTGAATAATCTTCCACTGTGATGTATTTTAATCTCCCAGTGAAAAGGGAGAATACAATGACAGCTTTTATTAGGGTAAATGTAAGCAAAACATGTAATTACCCATTAATCTGGTGTCCAGACCAAATTACTATGAATGAACCGGTCTTGTCAAGCTACATTTTTATGTTTAATAGCTTTAATGATACCTCCAGGGCAGAAAAACATGATTTATTTGAATCAAACCTCCAGATATTATCCAAGGCTCGTATCAATTATCCCTCTCCATAGGAGCAGCAAGGATCCCGTCTTGTTTTCTTCACTACTTCTTCCTTTTATTTTTCACCCTGGTGTTATCTCTGTAATCTTTATCGAGTGCGCTCTGATTGGGGACTTCCTGCTTTTTATTTTTTGACCACTCCACCTGCAGCTGCCGGAGCAAATCAGGAGTCAACAGCCCGTCTCTCACCAGACGACCAGCCAGAGAGCTGTCCATCAGTTCTTCCACAGGGCCTCTTTCAGCTCTTTTATTGCTCACATTGGTCACATTAGCAGCGCTGGCACTTCCGCTAATAGCACCCTTTTGTCCCCGCCTGCTGCCCAGGGGGGCGGTGATGGAGGAGTTGGTGGCTCGGATGAGAAGGGTGATGTTTCGGACGCCCTGTTTTATGATGTCATCAAGCTCCTGCTGGGATTCCCGAACCATTGCCGTGTCTGGGAACATGTCCATGAAACGGTAGCTACAGAGACAGACAGACCTCTTTATTAAGAAAGGACCAAGCATGAAAAAAATCAAAGAGGCTTTATGCCAGATTTAGCTATTAGCTAATATCCATCTGCAGCGTCTGGGCAGTTACACAAAAACAAACACTAAAAACAGTACATAGCATACACAACTATAACCAGGGGTGCACATAACTGGTACGCAGGTACGCATGCACGGCAACAATCTGAAATGCGTACCGTCACTTGTGTCACAAAGCGCATTTGCGTACCGACGTACTTGTGAAGCTTTTCCAGAAGGCGGTTAGATCACCGGACGACAGAGTCGGTCTCCGTGTGCACAGACAGGGCTGCTGTTAACGTCGGTCTGTACAACGGAATTGTGCCAAAACTACGCCAACCGGCTGCGGAGGTCGACTTTCCTGAAGTACTCCACTAGCACCCCCGCGCCCCCCCGTTGACGTTCGCGATACAGAGGGCTTCATCAAATTACTTTGAGTGGAGCCAGAAGTTGGAGTACCAAACACAGACTCCAGGTACTCATCTGAGTACCTCACTGAGAAAGTTATGTGCACCCCTGACTATAACAACTTATCACAGCAGAGACTTTAAATATAATAAATGTGTTTCATGGTCAAATTAATGTTTTCAAGATTTCACGTTTTAAGGACAGCTTGAGCATATTCCAATGTTTAATGGCTGTACATATAAAAGCTGATTGTTAATATTGTGAATATAATGCTGATGTGAAATCTAACTAAGATTCGCACATAACTAAAACATGATTCAGTCAAACGTCAACTGTCCATAATGATCTAATTAAAATGACAGGCACAAGAGGTGGAAATACTTTAAAACACTGCGTTACCTTAACCAGAGGTACAGATCGAACACATCGTGAACAGCTTCCAGGTGAATGAGGTCTTTTATGTTTTTGGGTGCAGACAGAGGCCAGCTGACGTGGCGACAGACCCAGTTGTACGTCAGCGGCTCGTCCCGACTGAACTGACGGGCAAACTGAAAGAGAAACAAGAACCAGATCAGAGGGACGACGCTGTAGGATTCTATGAAAAGCTTAAGACAAGCAAATGGAAGGAAATATGTTGAAACTAAGACACTAGTTTTAATGTCTATCAATTTAGGTGATTTAATTGTGTATCATGATATCTCGATATATGAACTAATTGTGATAAGATGTTATTCTAATAGGATATATTACCATATAGATTTATCGCCCAGCCCTAATCGTAAAATGGCTTGTCCCCCTCAATTGACCTCCTTTAATCTCCTGTCTCTTTCCCATGTTTGCTTCCACTCATCCTTACCTTTAGGAAGGAGGTGCATACAAAAGGTTGTTTCTTGTTGATGGGAGCAGTGCAGAAGACGTAGCGTGACCTCAGGTTGAGTGGGATGTGCTGAATCATATCAGCCAGGAACTTGAAGTCGTCAATGTTGCAGACAAAATACATGCCGTCCACCTGAGACAGGCTGACAAAAATGTCCTGCAAGGCAAAGGAGAAGCATCAGTTTGTGAGAAAAAGGCTATGGTGTGCAAGTAATAAACCAAACCACAAAAACAAAACATAACCAATTCTAGATAGCAATTTTTATTAGTCACAAAATGTCAGAGACTAAATATATGAAAAGATGGAAATACTTACGACAAGGTTGGACAGGGTAGCATCAGGTAGATGATACGCAAACAGTTCTATCTGCTCTGCTGTAGGATGCAGACCTGCAGTCTGAGACAGAGGAGAGATGATTTCATCCATCAAAATCCATACTTTTTGATTATTTATTTTATGGGTTTACCGAAAGAAAACAAGTGTGTGTTTGTGTGTGAATCATCACCTGTATGGGCTCTACAGAGCGGCTGAGGAGCTCTTTCAGAACAGGCAGGTCGTCTCTGTGCATGGTGGTAACTTGTCCCTCTTGATATATGGAGGAGAATCTAAGAAAAGTGACAGAGGACATGAGTTTAAAAAAGCCCTTGATAGAAACTTGTTTAATAATCTAGAAACGTTTCCAACCCCTTTCCCTGTCCTAAATTTGAACACTACAAGTGGAATTGAGACTGACCTCCCTGCGCGTCCAGCTATCTGCAGAGCTTGTGACGTGCTGATGGTGTCCATCTGTTTCTCCCCTTTCTCGTTGACATTAGGCTTTATTAGACTGTTGAAGATGATACGTCTTATACTCCTGGAGAAAGAAGAGAAGAAAGGTGGACCAAAGGATAATCAGTATAGTTATTGTCATCTACTTGATAGTCAAATTAATTGTTGTTGTTGTTCTTTTCTGGTTAAATAAAGATGAATAAAATGATAGTACTTACAGGTTAAGGCCCATGCCAATAGCATCTGTAGCAACCAGTATCTTGCAGGGGTCATCAGGGTCATTGAACTTCTTGGCTTGGGACAGCTTGGTGCCTGTAAATCACAGAAAAGTCCCACAAAAAGCTCAAATACTGGTTGGTAGAGTGCATGCATGACATAAATGTTGCATTTCTTTGATTTTCAGGTTGTTTCTGGACACATTTTGGGTTCAAGCTGCAGCCAAATAACAGAAACGGTACACCGCTTTCAGGCAGATGCTCCATGGATGGAAGAGCACATTCACGTTTACAGCTAACCCTTTGTCATCAAAAGGTGTTTTGTCCTTACACACAAACATACATCTACCTATAAGTCCTTCTAAAAAACACCCTTATTCACACCGGACGAGAAGCAGAACTCACCTGGAGGTAAGCTCCCATAAATGACAGCACATTCCAGTCCTCTGGCCTCAATCTGTCTGCTTATGGAGTAGATGTCATTTTTACTGAAGCAGACAATGCAGTCTGCTGGTCTCAAGTTGTTTAATGACTCCACAGCATGATCCAAGATTTCAAATGGAGTTAAACGCTTGTAGGTGTTGACCTGAAGAGCGAGAGGAAGAAAGAGGTTACAAAAAGACAATGATTAAAAAAAGAAAACGGTGAATAACATCAGTGACCTCCTCACTTCCTGCCGTTCTAAATGTTACAGCCGTACCTCCATCTCCTCTCCAGTGGTGAACATCAGCTCTCTGATAAAGTGAATGGCTGCAGGTTCCCCACACACATGGATCTCCTCCGCACAGAGACCTGCACAAATACAAAGAACATGTCAGCTGCCAAACTCGGAAACATCAAATTCAAAGCAGATCATGCAAAATGAGTTTACAAGACGTTAGAGATGTGTCTATTTTGCCTAAAATCATGCATTTGTAGGCATGTGTCGTAATGTGACAAAACAAGATATTTATTCTTTCATTGATTCATTATGATGTTACATTTGGAAATAAACTGAATGGTACAAGAAAGTTTAAGAGTGTGTGTGTGTGTGTGTGTGTATTACAAACCCAGTAGTGCTCTGGTCCAGGCCCAGCCTCTGGAAGGATCTCTGATCATCTGAATTTCATCAATTACAGCAACTTCATCTATAAATAGAGATACACAAAACATTAGACCCTCCAGAAAAACGCGATTCTGCGATCGCAGAATTTACCGCATAATCAGCAAAATGGCGCAGATTTTTTAAAAGGCCGCATATTTATCAAAAGGCCGCATAATCCCCACATTTCCACACAAGGTTGAGAAAAAAAAAAGTTTACTCGTCTTGACGTGAAGTAGTGATGATGATGATGACGCGACGTCATCAGCTCGCGCATCACAGAAGGTAAACAACACCGTAGAGTGAACGTGTGGAACTCACACGAGAGAGAAAACACCAAGATGAAAAAATCTAATCCATCTCATTTACCGACGAACATTTTTGCTAAAGACCGGGCAAAGCAGTACCCCGATATCTTGCACGAAAGTGGGGGTAAACTATTCTGCACCCCGTGCAACTGTGTGTTGGAGCATAAGAGAACATCGACGGTGACGACCCACTTTGATTCATTCAAAGATTCGAAAATGCTTTCTGCTGCTGCGGACAAGAAAGCCAAACAACTCACGTTCACCGAGGCATCAACCTCCAAAACCCTTTCGAGGGCTACAAGAAACGAAGTGAGTAGCCTACAAGATCGAAGCTGGTCAGATAACGAACGAGTAAATGAATGAACAGAATGAGGCGGAGAAGTGTGTGTGTGTGTGTGTGTGTGTGTGTGTGTGTGTGTGTGTGTGTGTGTGTGTGTGTGTATGTGTGTGTGTGTGTGAGAGAGAGAGAGTGTGATTAAAATAGCCCAATTGCTTTTACAATAAATAAACATTGAATGTGTTTAATTGAATAGTAAAGGGGTTTAATGTTAGTGGCAGGTTGTGTGTGAGAGAGAATAAATAAAACAGCCCAATGTTTAAAAAAAAAAAATTTAGCATATTTCGCAACTTCCCGCATAATATCACATAAAAACCCTGCATGTTTAATCGCATAATCAAGGATTTTAGCCCGCGTTTTTCTGGAGGGTCTAAAACATGAATTAAATGTGAACTACATCTTTAATACAAAGGAAAGTTTATTTAAGTTTTTGTGATTACAATGTCCAATAGAGAAATGTTGAGTTTTCTTGTATGAACTAAAAGGTTTGTATGTATAGTGTTTACTTACAAGGTGTGGTGACGCTGCACATCTCAATGGTACAGGCCACGTGAGCAGATGCTCGACCATCGGGGTCCATGAAGCTCCTCTCCTCTCCAGTGACCAGGTCACAAGGCACACCCTGCAAATACACACACACAAACAAATAAACACATGGGGCAATAGTCAACAATATGGTGTGGTGAGAAAGAGATTAAAGATGACTTCTTCACAGAGATGGAAAATGGAAAAGACAGGATCGACCGTTAGATACAAACTTGCTTTAATATTAAGTAGTACCCACTAAGACCTAAAAAGATTGATGTGTAAAAGCAATGGTGTTTTGCTTTAAACCAAAGAGATGACAGAAGAAGACAAATACGTACTGCATTGTTGCTCTTTTCAAAGATCTCGTGGGCCAGTAGTTTCAGGGGGCCGCAGTAAACTCCAGACTTGGCGGCCAGGTAGCGCTGGATGGCCTGGTAGGTTTTACCGCTGTTAGTGGGACCAGCATGGAAAATCACTTTCCTCTGGATAGCACGAGCATCAGGGTACCTGATTAAACAGACATACACAAAAGGACTGTAACCACAAAGTAACACAGTGCAAGTTAAGACACACACATTCAGATGGTGAATACAACCTACAGCCAGTAGAGTGGAGGAGTTTAGACGTTAAGTAGACGTATGGAAATGTCTTAACTATCTGAGTGAGGACATAAATAGAATTTAGTGTTGCGCTTGTAAATCTCAACTGATCAAAGATGAAGACTCTCTGCATTCAACTCTCGGCAGTCTGTCAACTATTTGCTCTTACTCTCAAAATAAGCTAATCTGTTTTCACCATGTTAGGCTGAAAAAATAGAAATATAAAGAAGGTGTAAGACATTGTAGAAGAGCTAAATGTCCACTAGCCGTGATGCTAATATATGCAGTGTAATGAAAGCTCGTAGAATGCCTTAAGCCTTCAGGAAGTGTCCTATGTTAGAGCTGCTATGTGACAACCATAGTTTTGTCTGGCATTGAAAAGGGATTTCAGATTTGTCTGACTGAGTAAATCAGAACATGTGGGATGCCCTTCATTGAGATGCACTGAGAATCATTGACAGGTGAACTTTAATCAAGTCCAATTGTGAGGCCAGTGAAGATGTATACCTGCAGATATCAGATGTATAAAGAACAGTCGTCTCTGTAATACGCACCAGTTGGCAGGAACTCTGAGGTCTGAGATCTTCCTCAGGTCGTCCATACAGTCCAGCATAGGAAAGATTTGCTTGGCATGACGCATAAAGTACGGATAGATGTCATCAAGATGACCTGGAGAACAGAAATTAAGTTATTTAAAGTTTCAATGTAATTTATCAAAATGATCTATTGACAAACTCTATTTTGAGGTTTTATTAAACGTGAACACACCTGACCCGGAGCAGATGTCACTGAGGATGATGTGCAGATCGGCAGGAAGGAACAGCGTTTCCAGAACATACTTCCTGAAGCTAATGAAGGCCTGGTGGAACAGACGAGCTGTACAGACAAACACACACACAAAATGATCACCACACATAGCATGCTGTTAGATTTCTGTCCATATCACTCCGACTTCAGCATTTTAAAACTTCACAAAATCTTTTGTGTGGTCGCCATTGTCCGTAGGTGTGTATTGTGTATGTTTATATGTGCTATCTGCATGTGTACTAAAGCCATGGGTACATTTATTTTCCTTCACTATGTAAGATCTTTATCTGCGGAGGAGTTACTTTCCTAACAGGGACTATACAGTATAGTGTATTGTATGGTAGGACCATAGACTGGGTAGGACCAAGGCAGCTGCAGTTAACAACCCCAGCTGCTACAGCTGCTGTTCAGCAACAGCTGGATCTCAGAGATGATGATGATTGACTCAAATGTGTGACCAGCAATTTGCCTTCAAGTAAACCATTCACATGCACACATAAGACAACAAGCCATCATTCATGTACAGTATTGCCCTTTCAAGCAATGTGTTACATCAGACGTTTTTTGAAAGCAAAGTATGAACAACTTATTATTTCTTACCATCAAGGCCATGGTCTGTTGCCATCTTCTGCATCTCCTTCTTCTTATAAAACTTGTTCAGAACTTTCAGCAGTTCAGCTGAATTAGAGAAACACAATTAGTTTGATGTCTATTATTACAAGAAAGCTAATCAAAAAAATACACACGGTGTTCAAAATACACTGAGGCATCTAAAGATAGCAAAAGCACACAAAAACAACCACTTAACTTTGACATACTTTACTTAGTGCACACTGATGTAGTTATTATATTATTCATTATGCATATATTTACAACATTCATGTTTACATCACTTTAATAATATAATTGGCAATATTCTCTAATTTAACGTCTCCTAATACAATTTGTATTACATTAGTGGGGATTAAGGTGTGCCACAACCTTACATTGGGCTTTGTGTTCATTATATATATTTTAAGCCTATTATTTTATGTATTTCTCATTTTACTTTCCACTTTCTTGAACATATTTAATGAGCATTTTAGTTATTGTTCTCTATAATTTCATTTGAAACGTATGCTCATTTGGCACTTCACTAAACTATACTTTATTCATGCAGTTTGCATTTGCAATACTGTGTACACATATTAACATATTTTAGGCCTGATATTGGATGTATGTCTCATTTTACTTTTCACTTTCTCAAACATATTTAATGGGCATTGTTGGAGTCAGCCTGAGATACAAGATCTTCACAGCCTACGATCGCTTCACTGTGTTAGTAGTTGTGCACGTTTTGTAACAGCTCTGGTAAATGTACTCACTTCTATCGAGGGGCTGTGTCAGCTCCACCCCCACATCCCCATTTTCCGAGGCGTCAGCCTTCAGAGACACCGGGACAAACAGAGAGGTGTCAGGGGGTTTTGAAGAAAAGCTGTCTGATGAAACTGTTCTTCTGGAAACCTGAGAGCCATCCTGGTGTTGTCTGTGCAACAAAGCAGAGCCAGAAGACACAGGACAACGGGCAGCCCGGGGGATAATGTGCCGCTGAAGCCGAGAAAACAAGTGCAAACACCGGTTAGCTGACATCGCTGCGAGTCGATTTTAACCCGGTTGTTAGCACCTTCTGCGGGCTATGTGCAAAATGTGTGCTACTGTCGCTCCATGGTGTTTATCAGGTGTAAATATGTGGATTATATCACACCAGAAACTTCAAGATGCACCAGAGGACGGTCAACACTCTTCCTGCTTACACGTGGGACAGGACCCGTCGCGATTTAGCTGCCCACAAATGTGCCTGTTTTGCGTTTTGACCATACAATGATTTGTATTCAAAACACAATAAAAACGACTTGCTTAAATGAGCCAATACTGTTTAAAATGGATGAAATAACTTGTCATGATTTTTCCGTTTGACATTGTGAAAAAAATGACGTATTTTTAAACAGGCCATTTATATGACTTCTATATAGTGTAAACCTAAGATCGTATATGCAACAGATATTATTCCTCTGCTAAATGTCCCGCTTTCTTTTTATTTTGAGTGAGTACATATAGAAAAGGCTGATACCAAACCAAACTGTAAAAATACTCAACCCACGTTAAAATCCACCACTCAAATCCTTAGTAAAAGTATTTTAGTACGTATCAGAAAAAGGATTTAAAGTATGAAAGTAAAAGAGGAAAATGTTGACTGTCAGTGTTGTAATAAAGAACATAATGGTGATGATTTGGATAAGTATTGCTGCTGTATTAATGTGACCTTGAGTATCCTTGTAAACGGAAAAGCGACAAAATCATTGTTCCTTTTTTTTTTTACACAAGTAAACGGAATTTTACATTTAAGCAACAGCAATATATATATATATTTTTTCAGCTTATTAAATGGCCAGGTTAATTGTTTATTTTATTTTTAATGTATGGATTGTTTGCTTTTATACAAATGTAAAAATAATAAACAATCCATGCATTACAAATAAAAAAAAAGTATAACAAATCAAAATAAACAATCCATACATTAGAAAATAATTAAAATCAAATAAACCATCCCTACATTAAAACAAGAAGTATTGCAGTCACTTTGCTGTTTACTGGTTTACGAAAGACAAAACAATTGATACGAAGGTACACAGACTCATGAGGGTTTAGAATTGTTTATTATGTCTATTTAGGTAAAAGTTGTTTATGTTGTTAATCAAACAAATGTAAATGTTTTTTTCTTACTGAACAGAAAACGTATAAAACTGATATAACGTCAGGTAATTGTAATGGAGTTAACAGAACCATATTAGTCTCTTGGTTGTAGTGGAGTATAAAGTAGCAAGAACGGAAATACTCAAGAAGAATACTAAGTATTTGAAATGTGTAGGTAGTACAGAACGAAAGGAAGGGGCAGATTTTTGTCGGCTGCATACTTTCAAATTCTAGCACACTCGAGCTGGTTTCTCCATTCTTACCTACCCTACCTTTCAGTACAGAACTGGAGTGAATGCACTTGTTTATATTTCAGCAGCCTTAAAGCCAAATCTTTAGAAATGCTGACTTTAAAATGATTGACCACACCACCCACCACTGAACTCTTCCTGTCAAAGTTTCAGTTGTGAGACTACTTTGTGCACATTTCCATCAGCTGTCTATAAAAAACAATATTCACAATAAGGTAGTTATTACAAATCAGCAAACAATTAGTCTCGTATTGCACTTTCCCAGGGTGGTCATCCGAAATAAATAAAGGTGGATTTGGAACAATAATAATCTAATTGAATGTGTGACAGCAGGATAAGTAGGCTGTAAGTATTTTACACACAGTTGTCAATCCGTAGGAATTATTTGTACGAAACATATTGAGACGTTTCTGTAAACAAAGAACTGAACTCTTGTGACCATATGTTTTTTTTAATAAAGAAAGAGTGTTGTTCTAAAGCTATTCTGTATAAATTTGCTTTATTCACGATTTATTTTGGCTATATATATATATTTGGAACACACACACACACACACACACACACACACACACACACACCACACACACACACACCACCACACACACACACACACACCACACACACACACACACACACACACACACACACACACACACACACACACACACCACACACACCACACACCACACACACACACACACCACACACACACACACACACACACACACACACACACACACACACACACACACACAATGATTAGACATTGTGTAAAGATGAACATGCAGTAGATGACTTTTGGCATTGAAGTGTTTCCTTTGAAGGCATTTAAACAAACCCTGCCTATACAGTGTTTTTAGAAAGACTACAAATATGTCTGAAAGGCTGAATAAAAGTGTAACCTGCAAATAAATCACACTGTTTCCACACAAAAGAAAATAACAAATACATCTGAACAGAAGATGTTAGTGTTCAGAGTTTTATGAAATGCAACATAATGTGACAGCATGACTTGCACATGTAAGAGACAAAAAGCAACAACATATTGTACTTATTCAATCAAGTAGTGATATATAAATGACAGCATAATGTCCATTATAGACACAGGGGATCTCTGAGGTGGAGTTGCCCTTGAGTAATGTTTAGCTTCAGCCTTCATGCCCCTCTTTAACAAAGTTAAGCATCAAAGGGGAAAGTGCAAACCTGGCCACAGTTCAGAGCTTAAGAGCCAATGCAACCTACACACAAACTGGTAACACCACAGTTTGTGTGTCTTTAAAGCAAGACCTAAACTCCCAGTCTGAGCGTCACAGTGGAATAATGTTGGATTTACAGTAAAGCGATGCAGCATCCCTTCCAGTGCTTATCAGACGACATTTTTGTAACATTAGTATTCTACTTATACCAAACCAGCAATCACAAATTGACAGTAAATCTAGCATCGTTTCATTTTGAATCATTTAAGCTCATGCGGTGATAACATGAACATTTTCTTCAGATACAAGTAGTCAGACAACTTCCTCCAGCATTTTAAGCTTTGAATTTAAGATGCTAAAGAAAAGAGAAGTCCTGCATTTAGGGACGTGAGTCAGCTGTCACCAGCCGACGCAGGAACTTATAAAAAGGTGTACACTTTCAAATGACCTATAACCATATTTCATTACATTTTGCAATACAGCTTTTAGGTGTGTCTAAGTTTTGATATATCTCTTTATATTTCTTCTTCCACCCCAATCATTTGGAGGCACTGGCATTTCATCTGTACTGATCATAGCACTGACATCTTGGGGGAAAATAAATCTTCTTTTTGTAAGTGAGTGAACCAACTCAAAATAACTTAGGAAAGACAAACTACAAATGTTTTTCTATTCTTCAAGATGAATGATAAATAAACAGCACGTGTAATATCAAACTAAGGCTTGTGCCAGAGAACGATTATCAGTGAAAACAGCATTAAATATTGATAATAAGATGAGACTAAAATGTATTGAAGTTAAGAGTCTTTGTCAAGCAGTGGATTTAAGTCTGTGCAACGATTAGTGAATCGACTGTTTTGATGGCAGATCTCTTGTTTTATCTATTAAAAACCGAGCCTTCAACGTGTTCCTCTCCAGTATGTGATTGTTTTTGGACTCCTGGTCAGACAAAACGAGACATTTGTCGATGTCACCTCTGGCTTTCGGAAATAGTTTTTCACTTTTAATGACATTTTAAGAGATTTATCAAGAATGTGCGGAACCAAATGATTAGTTGCAGCTCTGAATGATTAACTTGGAAGTAAAGGACATTGAAATGATACAGATATTTTTAATTTTCACTAAATAGCTGGAAGATTAAATATATGTCTACATGGACATTTGTTGCAATACACAGACATTTGCATGGAAGAAACCGCCTGTTGCAACACATTTAACAACAACTGGGGAAATCTTGTTTTCAACTTGTAGCTTAGCCTCATGTCCTTCGTTCAGACATGACATGAACTGTGCGGTCCAAATATGCAAACAAAAAAGCTCCTGTTGCAGTAGAAAGGGATAAACGATGTTGTAGTCATCTGTAGCCATCCCCTCTTTGCTCATGTTTTATTTTGCAATCAACAAACGGAGGCTTTATGGCTTCGCTCGTCTGAGACACCAGGATCAAATCGGCTGTCTCACTATTCCTTCCTCGTTTGCACTCTTGCCTTGACATTTAGCTTTCAGCCTTCTTGGATTCTATGCTTGTGCGTCGGTATGCAAGTGTTTCAGTCCGGCGGAGAGTGGGGTGGGGGGGGGCAGACAGCTCACATCTGAAGCTTTAGAGTGGTGATGTGGATGTCTGAAGGTATGTTGTGTGTATTCATGTATACAATTCTCAGTCCAGGGAGATAGTGTGGTAGCTCTCACACTTCTGGCTGTTCAGCAGTGAAGAGTTGGTGTGTGTCTGTGTGTGTTTTCAGTTCATAGCGCCACCTCACATCTCCGGCTGCTCAGCGCTCATTGGCTGGGTGCGGGGCTCAGGAGACTCGTAGCGCTGGAAGTTCTTTTTCCTAATCTTCTCTGGAGCTTTTCTCCACAAAACAATCTCCTAAGCACAGAAGCAGAAGAACAAATGGAGGAATGAAAAATTAGAGACTACAGAGAGTTTAAATGAATTAAGGGCTGCCTGTCACGATATCACAATATTGTGACAACAATTATTATTGACAAACATATAACCGTTTGATCTATATGAAGTTTGTAAAGAATATGAATAAAGCTATCGGTCAAGTGGAAGTGTGTTACCTGTTGTTTGAAGTATCTTCTGTCCTCTTCATCCACTAGCACCAGATTGAGGAAGTAGCGTACAGAGAACTTCTTGTTGACATCCCTCATGGTAGGTGTCAAGTCGTATCCTTTGGAGGAAACAGAAGATGTAATCAATGATTCATCTGCACAAATTAATTTATTAAATATCGGCTTTTAAATCTGGAGATGATTTAAACATGAGGATATAGGTGAAAAACCAAGCCTAGAATGTATTTAATGTTACTGATACAAGAGTGCTGTTATGGGACATCAGTTCAGAGCGCAAAAAGGGGGTCAAGAGCAGGCTCAAGCTATTGGTTGGTTGAAGCGTTGTCCCCGAAGCACAACTGTTCGATGCCAACCTGCCTGGAGGCCGCTCTCCAAGGAGGAACACGGGCAGGCGGTTAGAGGCCGAGCAACAATGGCTGCTAGCGCTCCTTCAGGAAAAACATGCACGTAAAAAAAAAAATAACGGTCCTACTCTGACCCGAATTAAGTGCCTCCCTTCGAACATTTTTTAACCTTAAACATCAGAAATATATAATGTAAAAATATATTTCATGACTAGTTAAGGATACTTAAGGAACGTGAATGTGATACGCTGGTGTTCAATGTTTAATAAGATCGAAATGAACACTACGATAAGCCTAAATACGATATGCCTGAAATTCGGTTTCACTAAAGAGAAGAGGAGATTAAAAGGCAGGACATAGGGGAAGACAAGAGATCTTACCTGCCAGAAACAGTCTAATGGGAATTGATTCTCCTTTAACTGGAGCCCCATCCATGATTTCATACTTTGCGACCGTCTCTGTCTCGGTGGTAGTACTGGGACCTTTGGGACAAAAAATAACAGTTTATAGACAGTGAAGTAGAGCAGAGAAGATGGACTACATTGTTCAGATTTATGCTACTATTAATAATATTATATATATAATCAAATCACGTTTTATTTATATAGCACATTTATAAATGATTTTTGGTCGAGCCAAAGTGCTGTACATAGAATAAAATTAGCCTACAGTAGAGACACTTTACAGCAAATACAACAGCACAGATTGTTCAGAATATCAGTATGAGAAAAACGACACCCTCTATCCTTAGACCCTCACATCGTACAAGGAAAAAATATATATATAATATATATATTAGTGCATACCAGCCATATGTCTGACCTGTGTTAGTTTCATTTTACACGTGGCTACACTGGCTTCTTACTAGGGCTGCTCAATTAATCGTATTTTAATCGCAATTACGATTATGGCGTGCAACGATTATGAAAACAACGTAATCGAAATAAAACGATTATTTTTTTTATTATTAATTATTTATATTTTTAATTACTTTTTATTTATTTGTATTGGTTTTTCAGTTGGATAACTATAACTACTTACAGTTCAGGGTAATCAACTGTTAAAAACATACTGTTCACATTTTTGTTCTCCAATAAATGGATGTTTTCAAAGTAAATGGATAATCGTTTTTAATAATCGTGATATCAATTATTGACCCAAATAATCGAGATTATGATTTTTGCCATAATCGAGGAGCCCTACTTCTTACCTATGCCTGTTATCTCCTTCTTGATGAGCTGTAGCTCCATGTGTTGGATCTTGATCCTGACCAGCAGGAAGTAGATCTTCCCAACAATCACGTCCTTAAGGTGGTATCTGACAAAGATACACAGCAAGAGAAGCTGCTTTAACTGACTTTCGGCCAGGTCTTATTTGGATTGACTGCGGAAACAATAAAGACTTCTCCAGGAGAGTTAAAGCGAAATTAGTCTTACTTGGATTTATTGTATTCAAACTCAATGTGCAGACAGTCTTCTATGCCGACCTCCATCTTGATCGAGTTGTTGACGTCTGGGTATGTGGCCAACTGGTGGACAATCAGCTCGTACTCCTTCACTAAGTCAGACAGACGACGGACTATTGTCACCCTGAGGAAATACCTGCGAGAAGAGGACAAAGACAAAGCAAGCTTTAAGAGTTAGAATGAACATCCAAAGATATCAATCATTTATATTTTGGAGGGGGGAAAAAAGCAGATGTGAGAGTCTTTTCCTTCTCCTTAATGTGTGGACTCAAACAACCCACAATGTGTTTTTATAGTATTTTGACATGTACTGATGATTACAAATGGGTCATAATGTGGCTGTTTCTGTACATTATCAATAATATAGGCTCTGTAGGTTTAGAAAATGTTTGGATTGAAAAAAAAGCTGTGCAGCCTCCAATGTTGAATTTTTTCTTGAAATGTCAGCGTTATGAATGAACCCTTAAACAATTTGGGACAAACATATGATAATAAAACCATGTGTTAACTCAAACTGTGTAATAAATATACCTTAGCCTGACATTGGCTCCAGTATAGGTCTCATACGGCTTCTCCACCTGCATGAACTCAAAGTCGTAGCTCCTGTTCTGGGCGAGCTCTCCAGGTAGAGCCAACTCTTTCACCAAGTCCACAAACTCATGGGTGTTGCTCTTATCAGAGAACAGCTCTGTAATACAGCACAGAGGATGTATAGGGATGGTGTGTAATTCAAGACCATTCAAACACACTGCATAACGTTTAATACAGTAGTTTAGTTTAAAACCCATGCTCTTTAAAACACTGCTTTCATTACCCTCCTTCTCCTGCAAAAGTTGAAGGAGGGTTCAGCTTTACTACAGCAGGCGGCACATGACGACCACATGCTCTGTTAAACCCTTTAGCCACATGAGAGCCCCAGCTGCCTTCTGGTGACATGCCCTTTTCCAGTTGTAAAACTAAAGCACTCATTTAGCATTTCAAATACTTCATAGAACTAATTGCATAAGATAAGTTAGAGGTTATATGTCAGCACCACCATACTAACTTTAGACATTACAAATCTCCATTCAATGAACACATCATGCAGCACTTCAAACACACTCACCTATCTGACCAACAAACTCGATGCGGATGCCTTGGTGCTCCAGACGTTTTCCTCCCTGCTTCACATTTAGATTCACCTGGAGAGGTATCATACGAGTTGAAAGAGTCATCTTAAGAATATCCAGTAAGGGCAACATCTCTCTGACAGGAGCCAACCAATGTTATTACTTACTATATACTAGGGCTGCACGATATATGCGCGATATTCACATCGCAGGACGTGCAATTTTTTATTGTTTTTATTTCTGCGATATTAAGTAGTAAAATTAACTCAAACACGTCATGTTACAATTATTTTTCTGCTTGCTACAAAAGGAAAACTTGCGCAGCTCTCATGTCAGGGGTACTTGAGTCCACTGAGACAAATGTAACATTTGTGATATTGGGCTATATAAATAAACATTGATTGATTGATTGATTGATGTCAGGGGTACTTGAGTGAGTTACATCATGCAGGCTCTGCATGCACAGCAAAGCACAATCACAATCAAATCTCCAAAGCAAACGGACGGTGATTAAAGGTAAAAACACTGAACAAAGTAGTTTCATGTGTTTCTCCAGGGCAGTTCGGCGCTGCTAACCGAGCTAGCTCAGCTTGTTGCTCTTAAAACTTAAGATCCAGACGTCCGTGACTAAAATCCTTCATCCGGTTAAATATAGTTAAAAAAAATACCAATAGCATTAAAGTTCAAGAAAGGATGGTTTGCGGAGGAAAAAACGGTATTTTCTTCAATTTCTGTATGTTTTCATATCGCAATATATATCGCAGGGGGGGGGGGAAATCGCAATGTCAGTTTTTTTTCCAATATCGTGCAGCCCTACTATATACTAGATTCGCCTTTACTCAATTCAGTTGTTATATCAGCTGATACATTTGGGTATCTTAGACATACATGTCTCACTGTCTCCCAAGTCTGATCAAATCTTGCACAAACATAAAATGATCATTAATTTCCCACTTGGCTCATTTAAAGAGAGGATCCCAGAATAAACTGCGTTAGCCCAGAAGTCCATTTGGTGGTGACTGAGCACTGTAAACTAATAAATACATTGACAGCAGAGTTAAATCATACTTCCCCATGTGTATTAATGCCTAATGAACCTTGTGAAAGTTGGTATCTCTGTAAACTGAGTTTACCTTGCCAGACACAGACTCTCCGTCGTAGAACAGGTAGTGTTTCTCCACTTTCCCTTCTTCTGTCTTCAACTCGGCTGTTTTTCTGTTCTCTGCATCGTTCAGCAGGACGTCGATCTCACATACCGGCCCAAACAAACCTCCTAGGAAACTCTGAAAACATCCAACATTTAAAAAGGTGCGTCAGTATACTATGTTGACTAAGTGTTTATTCAGAGTAAATTAGGAAGTACTTGGACAGAAGAAAACGTTTCCTTCTGAAAAGCATGAACTGAACAGTTTTAAGGCAAAAATAACAGTCGATATCTTTGAGTTTAAATGTCAAGATTCATTATAAGTGGTGTAGGCAACAAGCCAAAACAGGTCAACAACGCAAAACAGAAAACACAAATTCATAGAAAGACTGGACAATCTCTGTTCTCCTGATTTTATCAAAGAGACTGAATAAAACTTCAGTCACAGGTTGCTTTGTAGTTAACAGCAAACTGAGGCTATTGGGGTTTGTAAAAACACATTTCTATTAACTCTGATCGATGACAATGGTATGTAGCTTTCTGCAATAATCACTAACAAGACCACAACTGATTAGGTAACATTTATACGAGAGTATACATGTGTGCACATTAATGGGACTGATTCATGTGTTCTAGTCGGTTCTAGTCCGAAGTAGTAATCTTATACATCCCACACAGCGACTCCCTATCTGTTATTTGCACACTAACTCAATCACTTATCATCAGCTGCACAGTCACATTACTCTCCTCTGAGCTGGCACAAAGTCACTAACACATGCTTCAGCATGCAGCGAATATGAAGGACTCAGCCCAATCATCCCGATATCAGGAGAGACCAATCACTGTCTGCAGCACACGAGTGGGATTCTTTCAATTCATTAAATCTCGTAAACGAATGCATAGATCATATAGAAAATACTAGTATAAACTCCAAAATCAACATTATGAGCAACACAGGAGCAAACATGATAAATATAGCAACAGTGCATCAAAGTCAGTGGGCGTCAACTTGTATTTGTCCTTTACTAATTCAACGAATCAATCAACGCTTTTCCAACCATCATATCATGTTAACAACAAAACATTAGGAATTTCAAGAGTTGTCTCTCTTATAAAATATGCTTGTGATATACGATAGAATTTCTCATTACCCTTCGCAAAATAAGAACGTTAGCTACCATTGACATTTCCCTAAGCTTCATGGCAGCGCTAGGTTACAAACAATGACAAGATAACGAATTGCTCAATTTAGAAAACAACTATTTTGGTTGCTGTCATCGTTAACCAAAGCTGCTGGGCCGTTAGCTCACTAGCCAAAACATAATTGAGAAAGCAGAGGCGGCCTGATGCTAACTCCACCACCCAGCTAGCTTTCCTGTCCGGTTTTAAATGTTAAAAAGCTGCTGTCAAGTAAAACTGGGGGTCAGTTTAAATGCAGTTTTTTATTAATAAATACCCCAGGTTATTTCAGTGTAGTCCGAACAACTGAGGTTTGTTTTCACACTCACCATCTTGGCTGTCTCGACAGTTGAAGCTAACAGCTAGCCTCGCTCCGTGTAACCAGTCTTTGAACCAGGAGGTAGTACCGAGGCGTACCGTCATGTGACCCGGGTCATGTGTGTGTTGTCCGGGGGGAGGGAGCTAAAAATCTCCCTGGGATACTGAGTCACAGGGTGGAGAACCAGACACACTACTCATAGTAATGACAGTAAATAGTATTTCCCATAAATGTCCATACTTTCCATCTATGGGAAATGTCCATACTTATAAGAAGAGAGACTGACTTCAAACTACATGTTGGAGACTTCTACCAAACTTCAGCATTATAACAAAAAAAGTGTAATTGGCCAACATTGTATCTGAATTTTTATCACATTTTGTTATCATTTCTTTTTTCTTTTCATATTATTATTAACTTGTTCATGTTTTACTTTGTATTTATATCCCTGGTGTGAACAGTATGCTGTATGTATCCATATGTTATTCCTTTTTATTCCATATGTAAATACTGTTATATATTTTACCATATTTTTATTATTTTTTAATATGTTTCTAGTTCTCTACCTGTGTTTTAAATGTTTGTTTTACTTTTATGTATGCACCACGACACCATGTCAAATTCCTAGTACGTGTAAACCTACCTGGTAATAAGCCTGTTTCTGTTTCTAATATTTTTTCGTGCATAAAAAAACACTCATGTGTTGTAGTAAAGTACAAGGTACTCACCATCATTTTGGTTATTCAAAATGTGTGACTATGTACTGAGCATCTTTATTTATTTTGCAGGTGAAATTAATGATGTCAGTGCTCTCTAGTGGACAAACTAATGAAACTATATTACATTTATATTCATTTATTATTTTTTACACAATAACTTTTTTCTAGAAAATTACATTTTCTAAATTCAAGCAAGCAAGTGAAGGCTGGAGCAGGACTGAATAAACTCAATGAAACTCTGTTCACCCCAAACCTACTCAAACTAGTAAACTGACTGCAGAGATCAGATAGCACACCATTTTTGACAAAATCTCCTAAAAAAAACAATTGACACTTTTGTTATAAATCCTTTATTGTACTTCAAATGTAAATTAGACAGTGCAGAGCATGATAAAATGCATGCATTTGCATCATACATATTTTGAATATGTTTCAGCTCACAGTGGTTACGGTTGGGTGAATCTGTTCCTGAGGGGTTTTGGTTTGCAAGATTCTTTTGTTCAAGTTCTCACAATATTTTTCATAACCCTCCAGGGTAAGGCTAAGGTGTCACAACATTTCAGACAAAGGAATCCAATTATATAAATATGTCTTTGTTTGTCTTAAAACAACAAGCCTCATAGCTCCAAAAATTGGAACCACAGCTGCAGAGAGTGAGCAAAGGATGGACATAGGCTTTATCTTATTGCACTGATATTACACATCAAAGCATATTCCAAATTTATAGTAAAAACTTAATTCCAACTTACTCGTCTTTTCCACAAAAGAAATGCATATACAGGTTAAGCTAAATCAAATCATGTATATGTCTCATTTATGCAGACCATTCTTTTACTTCGGCAGCTACTTTTTCATTGTTTACACTTGTTCTCTTGCGAGGAGAGTAATTCCTACCAATAGCACTGGGAATATAAAATATATATTTGGCCTTTGTCAATGTCCAAGCAACCATGTGGCGGTGCAATATTTGTTTTAGTATTTGAATAGACAGGTTGGAAAAAAAACAGATGGTAGCCTCATGTATATGGTGGGTGTATAGTCTAGAGCTGCAGAAGGTGGTCTTCTCTCAGCTCCTGCTCCGCTGGCTTTGCCTCACCAACCAGAGGGAACAGCCGCCTCATGCCCCTCACAACCCCAACTGCGCCAGCCCCAACTGCGAGCAGAAAAACAGGTCAGACAAAGATCAGACAAAAATGAGGAACTTGAAAACTATTGATTCCATGCAACTTAAGACACTTTTCCAAAATATTACCTTTGTAAAGATCCTCCCCCTTCTCTGCCCAGGACTCCCCGGAGCCTGTGTCACTCTCAGCAGCCCCAAAGGGCAGGCCGGCCATCAGCATATCTTCAGTGGCAGAACCCTCGAAAGATCCAGAGCCATCGTCAATCCACACAGGGGACTCCCCTTCCTCGGAAGTCATTGGCTCTTCCTCCTCCTCTTCCATCTCTAACTCCACATCCTCCTCACTTGGTGGACTCTCACCCACCTCAGGCTCTGCATCACTGAAACAAAAGGGTTGGATATTGGAACAAATGTGAGAACGTTTTGCATGAAGTAGCTGTGTGTTTTAAGAAGGCTATCAATCATTTTCATGTATGTTACCGTGCTCATGTTCATCAACAATGACACCAGTAGTAAGTAACACAGCTATAATAATAATAATAAGCCTCAAACTAATTAAGATTGTTCATTTCGCAGATGTATGCATAAAGAAGCAAACATATAGATTTACTGTGTGAGGAAACATAATATCAATTCATATCAGGTATGTAGATTAGGCAGATGATGTCACAGCTTTTAAAGACTGTCCAAAGAATATTTGTTTCCCGTATTTTGCCTCAATTGACCTCATCTGAGTACTTTAAGAACAAACTGTGCTATGTTGAAATCTGTCTGACCCTTATTTAGCTTTGTGTTACACCTGTTTTAGAGTCAAATAAGAAAGATTTAACAACAAATATGTCACTTTTTGGAGAAACTAAGGAAGCAACATCAACTTGCAATTAAAGTAATATCCTTTACATACATGAACAGTACTTCTCACACGAGTACCAGACTAGTACGGCACATACGCAGTAACAAAACAATAGACCAGAAGCAGCAGCCCACAAGGCGTCACAGCCCACTTCCTCTCAACACTTCCCAAACGGTTTCCTGTTCAAGACGAGCTGCAAAGGAGGGCTGTGCTGAGGCCATTACTGCTTTAAGCAAGCTGAAACGATGTCCGAGGCAGATAACACTCCAGCTAACAGCACATCGATTCATAACCTCAATTTTCAAGTCTTAAACCATACTTTCAATTCACTACCTTCTGCCATCTACACTCCTTGTCTCTTTGTGTCTTTAAGTCTCTAACTCTAAATCATAAATTGTTTGAAGAAGCATCAAAATGGAGTAATTCTCAGTTGGATTTTTGACCCATAGTATTGATCAGTTCTGGTAAAATCATGTGATCCGATAGTAGCGTAGAAGAGTAGCATTCGATTTATTTTTGTGTTTTGGGAACATTGATGCTGAAGCAATCAATCATCACTTCCTCTTTTTGAGCATTAGCTCATGAGCTGATAGGATTGGTGGTGGTTAGAGGAATACTAAAAGAGGAAACTGAGGGCTAAGACAGAAACTTCACACACATTTAAATATATAAATCACACATACTCTTTTTGGTTAACACACATACACACACACACACACACACACACACACAAACACACACACACACACACACACACACACACACACACACACACACACACACACACACACACACACACACACACACACACACACACACACACACACACACACACACACAGACCTAAGCCTTAGGAGGAAATTAGTGATGTTGATTCTAGTTTTTTGGCATAGGCCAGCTGTAATTTCCCCATTTTGTCTACAATAAACTTTATCATGACACCAAAATCAAATCTACCTTAAAGCTGCATCAAATGATCTCTTTGTGCAGGGAGGTGAAACAAAACAGGCCAAAGATGTACACCTTCTGCTTTAAATCATGTGTACTCCTACTGTACTCTGTGAACTCTTTTGACTGCACCTCTAACCTCCATGCTGTCTTTGTGTCGGTCCCTCTGTCTTTCTTTATTCCTTCACGTTGTCGTCAATTTTGGCTTTTCTTGGCCACCTACCTCACACTTATATGGTCTCACACACATGCATACACTCAGAGATAGATGTTGGAGTAGATCCAATGCAGCATCTGCATTTTGTTATATTTAAAGTCTGCATTTATCTGACATTACAACAAACAATGTTATCTCAATGATAGTTGTTTTTTCCAAACTTATTTAATCATTGAAGTAAACTCACAGAGCAAGTCGAATAGCAAACAAATTCAGCCACACAGCTCGTACACATATCATTTCATCGAGCTGATGCTTTTATCCATAGCACAATACAAATAATGCAATCAATTATTAGGATACAAATTCAGAAAAGCAAGAAACCTGATAATAAATTACTAAAAAGCAATTTAAAATCTTTCATACAAATATGTCAAAACAGGTGGGGTTTCAGTCACTCTCACAAAGATACACACACACACACATGAATACTTACAGATACTGTGCATCTGCAGCAGGCAGTTTGTTGGGTAGGTCTGGGGTCAAGGACATTTCTGGACCCCGGTGGGTCACACAGTTGGCCTGGTCGCCCTCAGGGTTACATTTCACAAACTTATACACAGCAGTTCTAGGCGCTCCTAGAGAGAGAGGGGCGGTTGATGTTCAATATGTGTTTTTTTAAAGCAAGATTTTATGCAACATTTCACTTCACTAAGAGTTGTATTAGGCAATATCTGGTTGTTCATCTGGATCAGTTCAGTTTAACTATTAAGGTTTACAGTTAGATTACAACATTATTCTGCAAGAGGGTAAACGACGGCTGGCTTAATAGGCTTCAGTGCTGTTTATTCTCTTATGTAATGTGTAAGAATAGGAAGTAAAGGCATTGCAGCCCTTTTCTCAACACACCACAGTAAGGTGATCATAGAGCATCTCTTCTGTAAAGAAATTAGCCAACAGCTATCATCTGATCCGGAGATCTTGACTGTTTGATGATTGATGTTGAGCTTTCTGTTATGGACTTTATTTTCAAAAGTACACCAAAATCACCTTTTCTTGTTTTGCCCTCACTGTAAGTGCTTTTGTGCTCGAATAAAATCATATATTTAAAAAGAAAAAGTCTAAGAAAAGGTTGGTGTGCCATTTCTGCATTACACTGACACTGCTACCAAATGTATATATCATAGGCTTGTGCTATCTGACACTTGTATCAACCTCATTTAACTGGAGATGGAGTTTTATTTGTATGAGTGTGTGACAAGTAGTTTGAAATGCTATATGTTCAACAAGTGTAGTTGTTGCCGTTAAGTGTGCTTATTCGCCAACAC